AAGCAATGGAAACGAGTGAGTTAAGATATCTCCAAAGAAACATTGCCCACCTCCCAATCTTAACAACCAAACAAAATGTAGATTTCAAATTTTAAATGAAGCTAATGTGTAGTTCTACAAAGCAGGAAATGAAATCTCACTTCTTTCTCTGGTAATCTGTAGAAAATTGTGCTTTTTTAAAAAAGAGCTATATCATCATCAAGCAGGTGCAGTGTTTGTAAAGTCAGATCTGTAAAATTTCTACTAATTTTGCTTTTGGAAAAGTATTCAATCTATTTCTGGGGGAAAACAAGTATCCAATTATATATATCAAAGCCTGCTGGCAAATCTGATCAGTATGCAGATATACAGAGAATAAACAGAACATAACTATCATCTTATTCCCTTCCAGAGAAACAGCACTGTGCAAAGTGCATAAAATAAGTAAGAAATAGTAAGCATTTAAAATTAAGCACTTAGAAAATGAAAAGAATGAGATACAAAAGAAATATAAATATTCAGGCCTAATGGAGGAAATCATACTCTAAAAACAATTTATTTGGTACATATGCATACGTAGTACATATACACATACATATACACAGATAATCCTATAACTACATATGTATGGACTACCTACACATATACACAGAGTTAGGAGGAGCCTACTCTGAGCCAGGTCCAGCAGGTCTGGGCTGCAACAATCTAGATGACCACTAGATGGTAGCAATAAGTTTAAGTTCTCAATATCCCAGCCTCCATCTAGTGGGCTTTCTGATATGTTACAGTCCAGATCTAATACAGGTAGTCCTTGACTTACAACAGTTCATTTAGTGAGCGTTCAAGCAAAAAAACAAAACTCACAAACAAAAAAATCTCCACACCACTAGTCAGGCAAACACCTGGGCACAAACAGATCCCCCCTGATACCTCCAGCTCAAACACACCCCAACCAGTCACCCAGATGAAACCTAGCTTCCTAACAAATGATAGCCGTCCATTTACTCGGAGCCAAGCTGCACTAAAAGCCTCCAATACAGGAACACAATGTTGCCAGCCAATTAAGACACAAAAAAAGCCACAAAACAGACAGAAGATATTAGAAACACCAATCAAGCAGTACACAGCAAACTCCAAGACCAATAAACACAGACCAAGACTCCCAACCAATCAGGATGAAGAAAAAACCATTCTGGCACAGCAGTAGGCTAGCCCCAAATTTAAAACTGAAACCATTATAAAAGTCTGACCCACAGATGAACACAATACAGAAGCCTGATGATGGCAGATGAGATTCTGCCGAAACATTGCTACAACTTTAAAAGTACAACTATAATGATGTGGGAAAATACCCGAACAAAGCTGAATACCATACATGTAAGTACCCACGAAAACTTAAGAAAATACACACACACACACACACACACACACACACAGAGAGAGAGAGAGAGAGAGAGAGAGAGAGAGAGAGAGAGAGAGAGTATATATTCACAGTATATATTCTTCTGGAAAGCAAGGCAGAAGGATTAGCTTTGAATTGCAATAAAGAGGAGCTCAAGGCAAGGTGAGCTTCCACAGCACAGTAAAATCCATCAATCATCAAGGCAGATTAATTAACATAATGTGAAGCAGCAGCTTTGCTAATGGTGGCAAATGAGGCTTGTTCCGCCCCAATCTTAGGATAGATCCTAAAAAAATCTCTCTTTTTTTAAAATCAGAAAACATTTTTGTAAAAGTGGCTGCCATTTCATGACCTTGAAATCCATGTTTTGCTTCTTTTCATCTAAGTGACAGAGAAGATGGATAGGTTTCTTATCAGTTTTAATATTAGCTTTGACCCATGTCAGATCTGGATTTTTTTGTGTGTGTTTCAGTACAAGGTATGTTTTGTCTTATGAAATGGCAGGTTATTCTAATTATCCTGATGAATTAAAACTGGAGAAACCTATTCAGCCAGGGAAGCATTTTGTGTGTCAAGGTATTGGGTGTCAAGGTATTATTCAACAAAACATCATTAAAATAAGCCATAGTTAGCACTGCATTTGAATCCAGCTAGCAAAGATGGATTTTGAAGCTACAGCACTTCTATTGGTTCAATCTACAGCTGGTAATGTAGTGATACTTTAAAGCATCCTATAAAATAATACAAGGCCAGCAGCAGCAAAACTGTATTATAAAGAGAAATAATATCATTTCACATCTGGCTGCCTTTTCTCATAGTTGCTTGGTTTTATATAGAGAATTCCTGGGTTTGATTCTCAGATACTACATTGGTGTGCAAAACATTATTTTAAATTTTGGAGGTCAGCACTACAGTGTAGATAATGATGTCTATGGAATTTCAAACCAGAATGACTTTGTCATTCTACAGACAGCAATGCTATGCATGAAATCCCACTTCTTTTATATAGATATTGAAATAATGTCTGAATGTCCAAATGGAAACTCACCACAGCCAAATTGCCCCGGCTAATTTGCCACGGGACATGAATTACATTAATATCAAAGAAATAGAGGAATAGAATAATTAAAGAAAGGATGCCAAGGGGGGGGGGGGGGGGGCAAAATGAAATGTGAATGACAAAAATTAAAATATTTTAAAACTATTTTAAATAATTAAATTGAGTTGTTGAATTGTCCCACAGCAAGTTGTCCTGTGATGAGTTGGCCATAGCAAATTGGCTATGGCGAATTGGCCATGGTGAGTTGTCCTTTTCCAGTCCTTGACATACATAGACTATGGCATAATAGAATTGGAAGGGACCTTGGAGGTCTTTTCTAGTAACAAACTCCTGCTCAATCGGGAGATCCTATACTATTCCAGTGATGAAGCACCGGTAACTTCTGGAGGTAAATCGTTCCACTGATAATTGGTCTCACTGTCAGGAAGTTTTTCCTTAGTTCCAGGTTGGATCTTTCACCCATTACTTCTTGTCCTGCCTTCAGGTAATATGGAGAATAGTCAGCCCTGTTAAGGTAATTCCCCGTTAGGAGAATGAGTGCATACAGGGAGACGTATAGAGAGTAGTGTAGGGATAATACACACAGAGCACACAGATACACTGTACAGTAAATGTAGGTTTTTACTTCCAGAAATGTTAAGCAAAGTTCAAGATAAGCAGTCCAAAAATCATTCACAGGTAAATCAGTCAGTTTTTCAATCCAGGGATAATCCAAATATCAAATTCCAATGTCAAAAACAGTTCAGTATCAGACTTACATTAAATCCAGTAATATCAGTCAATTAGAAGAAATGGAGCAACAGCAATATTTTCCAACAGAAGGAAACAGAGATACACTCACACTCTCTTCTGAGACTCAGACCTAAGACAAACCAGGTTTCTGGCTCCATCTTATGGCCGTTTGAGAAACCACACCCAATTTCATGCGCTTGCATTCCCTTAAAGATATAGTACTAAAATGTTTATCCTGGTTTATATATTTCTAACCCAAATACCTGTTAGGTGACTTATATTCCTAATAAACCCCTTCTTCTCTCTGGACAGCCACTGAACCAGTGTGGTATTCAGCAGGTTCTGACCAGTTCTGGAGAACCGGTAGCGGAAATTTTGAGTAGTTTGGAGAATTGACAAATCCCTACCTCTGACTGGCCCCGCCCCCATCTATTCTCTGCCTCCTGAGTCCCAGCTGATCGGCTGGGTCTTCTTTGGTTGCCCTGCATAGGAAAACGGAGCTGGAAAGCAGGTTAGTAGGGTGGGGAGGGAATGGGATTTGACAGTATCCTTCCCCTGCCACGCCCACCAAGCCACACCCACAGAACCGGTAGTAAAAAAATCTGAATCCCACCACTGCCCTGAACTCCTGAAAGACTACTATCATATCACACATAGTCCTTCTTTTTGTTAGATTAGGCATTCCCAGTTCTTTCCATTTCTCCATTTGAAGGCCTCACTTTTCTGGATGATCAGTCCCACCACTGAACTGCTTCTAAGGACAGTAAAGTTTTTTTTTTCCCCAGAATATTTATGGCAGAGAGTTGAACGGTGGGGTCCTTGGTACTCTCTGAGTTTGGATGTTTTCTTGCAGACATCTCATTACCCAACTAGATAACATCATCAATGCTAGGAAGGAGTGAGGCTTGAGAGCTCTGTTTATATACTGTATAAGTGGCTTGCCCTGTCAGTGTTGGTCGGAGTGCTCTTGATGGTTTCTTGATTAGGGTGCTGTTTACTATTACATTGTTTGTCTGAGTTGGTCATTCAAGCAGTAAACAACATGTCAGAGTTCCAGCAACCCTCCATTCCACCCAATAACTCTGAGACAGACGTGTCTCAAAGGTTCCTTTTTATTTGGATAGTAACTGGCACAACTGGGGAATCCCGAATCTGAAAGTTCTGGGCTTCCTTACAATAAGTAAAAACTACAAATCCATCCCCTGCACCCATCACCACATCACATGGCCCAATCACCATCCATCTCCAGTTAAGACTTCCTCTCAGTTATGTGCAACACAACCTGACCTTGAATCAGAAAAAGAATTTTATTATGTCTAACTAGATATACTCCAATATATTCCCAACTCCCACTTTCCCAGGCTCAGATATGGCAGTGTGGGAGCATCTGATCTTAATATGGCTTCCAAAGCTGACATAATACTCCAATCAAGGAACTATCAACTCAGACAATCAATCTCACAGTAAACAATAGCCGAATCAGGAACACTCCCACCAACTAGGCAAGCAACTAGTGTATAAACAGAGAGCAGACAGACCCACTCCTTTTTAGCATTGATGATGTCACCTAGTTGGGTAATGAAATGTCTGCCAGAAGATAACCAAGATCGTAGAGGACCAAGGACCTCACAAGTTTTTTCCCCCTAGCATTCAATAAATGTCTGCCTTGCTGTGTTCTGAATCTATAATTCCAGGTTCTATATGATGGAGTGAGAAAAACAAGGCCATGGCTGCCTTTGGGCAACACAGTGGCTCAGTGATTCAGATGTCGGCTGGAAAGCCAGCAACCCAGGTTCAAGATCCAAGCAGCGTGCAACTGGATGAGCCCCCATTACTTACCTCAGCTCTTGCCAAGCTAGCAGTTCGAAAGCATGCAAATGTGAATAAATAAATAGGTAGCACTTCAGAGGGAGGTGAGCACTACCCTCTATAGCTGGCAATGACTAGCCAAGTAAAATCTACAGGGACTCCCTTTTTTGTGGCTGCCTTTGAGTATTTCGCTTTGCAGAGGTTTAAAGCAAGGAAACCTGTTCCCCCTCAGACTAAATTTGTCCACCTCCTTCAGTCTCTATTATTCCTAACACATCCATCTTACCCTCTGTTTGCGCATGCAAATGGCAGTGTGGCCTGCTGTTTCAAAGCCCCCCCCCCCCAACTGTAACAGAGCTGCCTTAAAAATGATGTCTTTTGCAATCACTGTGACAGTTTATATCCATTTTCCACAACTAGTCATGCTGGAAGTTAACTTCTTAACAACTGGAGGACCCCAAATTGAGGAAAGTTGCAATTCTAACCTTCTGTATACCACTGATGGTCACATCATGGTGGCAAACTAAACCTCAAATCCATAAATAAGTCTGCAAAAACTACAGAGGCAGCAAACGCAATCCGAGAGTTGTATCACCCACATGAAACCCTGGTTGCCACATGAAAAACAGCTTGCAAATCTATCCCCTTCCACCACCACCCCATTCCCAAGTTGTCTTCCAAGCATCCAATTGTGACATCTTGTTCTCTCTAAGTCACTCTCAGATCTCACAGCCACCTACCAGCCTGCTTGCTGTGCACAGTAACCTAGCTAAATATTGATTCTAAGTTGGAGGTTTTAGCAAACTGAGCCAAATATGAATTTATAAAGACTCTCTGCTATGCTAACCTTTCCTTACGCTTTTCAGTTTGGATAAAGTCCAGATGTTATTTAAAACAAGTGTGGGCAGGCCTATAGCCAGTCACTTCAAGTGATCCTCTACCCTTTGTGATCCTCAGAAATTTAGCAGCATTTGTGAGGGTGCAGTGGTTAGAATGTTGTCATGCCCCTGTCAGAGTCTGAATCTGAGGAGGAAGACCAAACAGCTGACAGGGAGCAGGAGAGCGGCTCGTTGGCTGTGGAGGAAACTGGGGAAGGGCAAATTTAGGATGGGCAGAGCAGGGAAGAAGTAGAACAAGGGAGAGGGAGTTCAAATGAAGACCAAGGCCTATCCTCTCCCCATCATACAGAGAAGAACGCAGAAGAAAGCAACTTGGGTTGCATGGCTTATGAGGAAGGAAAGGGCCCCAATTCCCTTCACAAGGCACAACTGGCGATGGAGTTTAAAGGAGAGGCAATTGGGAAGGGTGTTTGTCGGGAACAAACGTTGAATTCATGCAGTATTGTGAGTTTTAGCCTGCATTCCTGGCATTCCTCCTGTCTGTGCAAATTATTGCTGTGCTTCTGTGTGCTTATCTGCCTTGCTGGAATTATTGGACTTATTATCTTGCCCTGCTGGAGTGATTGATTGCAGTCATTCTGCTTACAGCGTCTGGACTGGAGTATCTGCAGCCAGAGGCTGTTGTAGGTTCATGTTGTAGGTTCTCCAGGCTGGAGAGTACCGGGACACTGGGGGCAAAGTTGGAGCAAATAAAGGGACTGATACCTATTTTCTGACTGTGTTTGTGCCATGCCCCGGGTCATCACAAATGTACTGCAGGCTAACTTACTGCTCACTCCAGGAGTTTGATTCTGCACAGCTCAAGGTTGACTCAGCCTTCCATCCTTCTGAGGTTGGTAAAATGAGGACCCAGATTATTGGGAGCCATATGCTGACTCTGCAAACCACTTAGAGAGGGATGTAAAGCACTGTGGAGCAGTGTATAAGTCTAAGTGCTATTGCTATTGCTATCTTGTCTCAAGAAAATAAAGGGGGAAACCCCACTTTGATGATCCAAAGGTGCTTTTCCAAAAAGCAACTGGACTTTCCTGGTTTTCTTTTACCCCTTTCCTTCAGTTCATGAACTGAACCGAAGAAGCTCCTTGGATGAGAAGTGAAACGTTTTCTAGGAAAAAACCAACAAAGTCCAGTTGCTTTTTGGAAAAGCACCTTTGAGACAACCATGACCTGGATGGTTGTGAATCTCCATAGACAGTCACTCACTTTGGTGATTTAAGTGTATTATTTAAGGTATTAACCACTGAGTAAGCGTTACACAATGAAAAAAAAAATGTAAACCCCCTCAACTTCTTCCTTAAAATTCGTGGCCAAGTTGTGTGATGTCATCGCATTGTTGCATGTCTACTCTGTTTTTGAGCAATTAAAAAAAATTCCTTATGGCATTGAAAAAAGTGACTTATGACCATTTTTCACACTTATGACAATTGCAGCATCCCTTTAATGATGATGGTTTTACAGATGTTTTACAGATTAACAGAGTTGGAAGGGACCTTGTAGGTCATCTAGTCCAGCCCCCTCTGCCCAAGCAGGAGACCCTACACCATTTCTGACAAATGGCAATCCATTCTCTTCTTGAAAGTACCAAGTGATGAAGCTCCCACAACTTCTGAAGACAGCTTCTGTTCCACTGGTTGATTGTTCTCCCTGTCAGAACATTTCTCCTTATTTCCAGGTTAAATCTCTCCTTGATCAGGTTCCATCCATTATTCCTTGTCTGGCCTACAGGTGCTTTAGAGAATAGCTTGGCCCCTTCGTCTCTGTGGCAGCCCCTCAAATATTGGAATACTGCTATCCTGTCTCCCCCGGTCCTTCTCTTCACTAGACTAGCCAAGCCCAGTTCCTGCAACAGTTTTTCATATGTTTTAGTCTCCAGTCCTCTAATCATCCTGGTTCAGTGGTGAGATTCAAGGGTTTTTTTTACTACCGGTTCTGTGGACGTGGCTTGGTGGGGGAAGGATACTGTAAAATCTCCAGTCCCAGGTGGTATTTGCTGGTTCTCTGAACTACTCAAAAATTCCGCTACTGGTTCCCCAGAACTGGTCAGAACCTACTGAATACCACCTCTGTCCTGTTTGCTCTTCTCTGCACTCTTTCTAGATTCTCAACATCTTTTTTATAGTGTGGTGACCAAAACTGGATGCAGTACTCTAGGTGTGGTATTAATTGATGATGGTTGCGGTATGTATGATGGTTGCAGTATCCTGCAGTCGTGTGACTATCTTTCGTTACCTTCTGACAAGCAAAGGCAAGGGGGAAACCAGATTCATTTAACAACCATGTTACTATATTAACCATTCCAGTGATTCACTTAACACCTGGGGCAAGAAAAGTCGTGAAATGGGGCAAAATTCACTGAACAACTGTCTGGCTTAGCAACAGAAAATCTGGGCTCAGTTGTGGCCGTAAGTCAAGCCCTGCCTCCAAAAGGCATCCATTTTTGTGAGTAGAGCTGACTTTATCAGATGCCCAGGGTGGCTGAACTGCTGTAGGGTTTAAACTGAGAGGAGGTGTTGGGAGAAGAAGGGAAGGGAAATGAAAATGGTCTTTTTTTAGAGTTGCCAACAGAAAGAGAGCGAGGAAAGGGGTTTGAAAGAGCAGTGCAGCAGCTTGGAAATCGAAAGTGCATTCCATAATTAATTTTTAAAGATAGTAACTAGGTGACTGAAGTTTCTGCTGAGCAAATATCTAACTGGAGAACAGGGTTGATGACTCTTGGCTATGGAGGTATCCCATTGGAGAATATGAATTATGATACACCCAGGGGGTGGGGGAAAACCAGGGTCAAGGGTGACAATGAACGATGTGTCTCAGCGTCAGCTGCAACCAAGTAGTGCCGGACAGTTTAACTCCCAAGAAATCCTTTTGAAGTTTTGGAAGTTTGGCTTGAGACTCATGATTTAATTGGGGTAACTGCCGGAATCCTGACAGTAGTTATGCAGATGTCGGTTACACATGAGACAGTTTACAAGTACCTTAGCATTAACAATTGTAATGTGTTAAAAACCTTTTGCGTTTGTCGAGACCTTTTGAAATTGCCTGCAACCTTCTAATGTTTATGAGTTCAGTAATCTCTTGCTAAATGAAGCTGTTAAACTTTCTCTTTTTCCAAAAGAGATCATTAATGAAGTGTCCTAGGAGATTGAAAAAAATTCCGATTTTACTTTGCCCTTATTTTAAGTCTTGATGTGAAGCTGTTCTCCATTAATTCTTTTGTACAAAGTTTGTTCTATGTAGAACGTACAGAGGGATTTCTTCTCAGGGATGCTTTGCATTAAGGGAAAAGGGTATGAAGCAATAGCACTCAGACGTACATACCGTTTCACAGTGATTTACAGTCTTCTCTAGGCGGTTTACAGAGTCAGCATATTGGCCCCCAGCAATCTGGGTTCTCATTTTACTGATTTCGGGAGGACGAGAGGCTGAGTCAACCTTGAGCCGGTCAGAATCGAACTGTCAAATTGCAGGCAGCCGGCAGTCAGCAGAAGTAGCCTGCAGTCCTGCATTCTAACCACAGTGCCACCAAGGCTCATGCTAGTCTTGCATTTGTATTTGTTGGTCCTGACAGTGCTACATCTACAGATAGTCCTCAGTTTATTATCGCAATGGGAACCACAATTTCCATCACTAAGCAAGGAGGTTATTAGGTGAGTTATGCCCGATTTTATGACCTTTTTTTTGGCACCCTTGTTCGGCGAATCACTGCAATTGCTAAGTGAATCATGCAGCTGTTAAGTGAATCCATTCGCTTTGCTTATCAGACACCGGAAAGGAAGGTTGCAAACATCTGTCATATCTATACTCCAACTGTCGCAGCAAGAGCACTTAGACTTATATACCACTTCACAGTGCTTTACAGCCCTCTCTAAGTGGTTTACAGAGTCAGACTATCACCCCCAACACTATGGGGTCCTCATTTTACTCACCTTGGAAGGATGGAAGCCTGAGTCAACCTTGAGCTGGTCAGGATCGAAAGAATCAAAATCCTGACAATGTGAGCAGAATTAGCCTGCAGTACTGCATTCTACCACTATGCCACCATGGCTCTAAAACAGGGGTCTCCAACCTTGGCCTCTTTAAGACTTGTGGACTTCAACTCCCAGAATTCCTCAAGTCTTAAAGAGGCCAAGGTTGGAGACCCCTGCTCTAAAAGAAGATATTTGCTACAAACCTTAAATGTTCTCTTCTTTTCCAATTTTTTCATTTGTTTTATTTATATAACACATAAAAATTCAGTTTCAATTAAACAGTGTGTTGTCTGGGTACAATTATTTTCAGGAAATCATAATCAAAATGTTTACCGTAATATTCATTATACTGATATTAATTCAATAATAATAGTAATATTTGCTTGTCTAACAAATCTCCTTTATAACATTAGTCCTTTTTGTATCCCCATGTTCTTTGTAGAGTCAGCTCTCAAGACATATATGACAGCCAGGGGTGGGATTCTAACTTTTTAACAACCAGTTCTGTGGACATGGCTAGGTGGCCGTGGCCATGCGACTGGGTGGGCGTGGCTTCGTCTTTTTTTTTCTTTTTCTTTTTTTTGCAGCAAACCTCCCTCCCCTGTTTTTGGGCCTCCTGGGCCTCAGAGAAGCCTTCTGAGGGGCATTTTTGCTCCCAGGAAGCTTCCCTGGGACCTCCCTCCCCTGTTTTGGGGCTTCCTGGGCCTCAGAGAAGCCTTCTGGGGGGCATTTTTGCTCCCAGGAAGCTTCCCTGGGGCCAGGAAGCTCCCCTGAAAGGCAAAAAATGGAGTGCATGGGTGCACACAGCTCCCCCTTGTCATCATCCCCCGCATACCCCTCTTTGCCTCCTGGGCCTCAGGGAAGCCTCCTGGGCAAAGTAGTAAGACAGCGAGGGGGATCCCAGCATAGCTGATCATTGGAACAGCTGATCGTCAGGAGGGGGAAAAAAGAAATACCTTAAGGAGTGACTGGGCAGGGGAGAATGCAGTCAGCAATGTTGGGCATGTGTGTGATGTCACACATGCACGATAAAGTCTGATTGGATGGGGAGGGAAGTGGTGGACGGATAGGAATGGGGGGAGCCGGGGCACTATTTGCCGGTTCTCCAAACTGCACAAAATTATAATAACCGGTTCTATAGAACCAGTCCGAACCGGTAGAATCCCACCCCTGATGACGGCCTCTGTTTGTTGATCTTGGCTTTGAGTGATATTTTTGGTGAGGTTTGGTCTACTTTTGCTGTCCATGGGATGCCTAACAGTCACCCTCCAGCACCTGAGTTCAAAGGCGCCCAACCTCCTCCTATTTGCCTTTTTCAGAGTCCAGGTTTGACAGCCATAAGTAGCAATTGGGAAAATTATTCCATTAACTAATCTGCATTTGGTTGTGAGGCTTTACTCTTCCAGATGCTCATTTATGTCAGACATTGCAGTTCTTCCAAATGCTTCAAGTGGTTGAAATCCACACATCTTAAAATTGCTGAGGTTGAGAGAAACACCTCATTAGGTAATAGCTTTCAAAGACAATCCAGCTTAATTAATTTCACAACTATAAGATTATCTCTTTAAGAAAACAGTAAATAAGGGGGAAAGGAGAGTGTTTTACCTATACTTCAGAGATGGTTAAATTAACATGAAGTCTTTCAATGGCAGCTGGCAGTCAGCAAAAGTAGCCTGCAGTACTGTATTCTAACCACTGTGCTGCCATGGCTCATAAATATATGTTAGATGCCAAGTGCCCATATTTTGATTATGTGACCATAGGGCTGCTGTGATGTTCATAAGTGAGAGGACCAGTTGAAAGTCACTTCTTTCGGAATTATAATATAAGTTAGAATTTGTCAAAATTTGAGATTTGCTCAAAAAGGACAATCTGAATTATCAACTAAAGTCTAATGATGATGTAATGATAACATAACATGATATGGAAAGTTAATTAATATAATATGAATATAAATTTAAATCTAAGAGAGAAAGACGATAGATATTGTGCACAAGAATTATGTACCAACCGACACACTGTACAACTGAAAGCAGGTTTTATCTGTTGTTTTGTGTTTATGTTTGTTGTCAAAAAATAAAAACACTTTTTACAAAAAATAAGGAAGTCACTTCTTCCAGTGTTTTTGTAGTCTCAAATGGTCGCTAAACAAATGTTTGTAAGTCAAGGATTACCTGTACATCAGCAGTAGAGAAGCTGTGCACACACACACACACACACACACACACACACACACACACACACAAACAGTGGAAATTGCATTTGAAAATGCAAACAGATATTTTCTTTCGTACTTTACATATTAAACAAATACCCAAGAGGAGGAACGAGAAGTATGATTAAGTATATCTAAAACAGAGAGGCTTAGCTTTAGAGTGAACTGTACTTTTCCTGAGCTAACCTAGTTGGCTCTGAGTTTATAGTTGAGCATGAGCCATAAATCAGCCAGCTGCATTTCCATTTAATAGGTTGTGTGAATTCAGCCATAAACTGATCTTTATCTCCATATTCAAAGGTCACCCAGTCCACCCCTTGCCAGAATAGGAAATCTTTTCCTCTAACATTTAGAAGGAGCAGATGGAGGGCCTATTTTAGCTGATGAGTGGAGTGAGCTATGGGTAACTCCGCGTGTGGCGAACATGTCCACGTGTGCATGCATCTGTCTGAGAATCAAAGGGCAGTTTACCAAAAATAAACCAGTACAAAATTGTACAAAGCACTAGCCCTTAAAAATACTGAAATCCCTGTTCCAGTTTGAAAACAGGGGGGCTCACCCGCCACATGTACACATAAGCCTGGGTGATATAGAGTCTTGTGGTAGAGTGGTTAAAGTGTGGAATGAAAGGATCCATGTTCCAGAAACAGTCATCGTACAACAATGGGCATTGTGGATTAGACCTCCAAATGTACGTCAAGTTACTGCATCCAGTTTTGTTCACCACATTATAAAAAGATGTTGAGACTCTAGAAAAAGTGCAGAGAAGAGCAACCAGGATAATTAGGGGACTGGAGACTAAAACATACAATGAACGGTTACAGGAATTGGAGTTGGCTAGTCTAGTAAAGAGAAGGACTAGGGGAGACATGATAGCAGTCTTCCAATATTTGAGAGGCTGCCACGCAGAGGAAATGGTCAAGCTATTTTCCAAAGGACCTGAAGGCCAGACAAGGAATAATGGATGGAAACTGAGCAAGAGAGATTTAACCTGGAAATAAGGAGAAACTTTCTGACAGTGAGAACAATCAACCCATGGAACAGCTTGCTTTCCGAAGTTGTGGGGGTGTCATCACTTGAAATTTTCAAGAAGAGATTGGACTGCCATTTGTCAGAAATGGTATAGGGTCTCCCGCTTGGGTGGGGTGTTGGACTAGATGACCTACAAGGTCCCTTCCAACTCTGATTATCTGTTATCTGTTATTCCTTCTTCATCTTGCTGGGTGAACTGAACCAGTCTTTCCTTCTAAGTCTAAAAGACAAGGTAGGTGAAGATGGTGGACTAACAGGATAACAGAGTTGGGAGGAACTTTGGAGGTCTTGTGGTCCAACCCTCTGCTCAAGCAGAAGACCCTATACCAGTGGTGGTTAACCTTTTCGGCACTGAGTGCTGAAATGGGACCATGTACACACCGAAAAAGAACTGAATGCTGAAACACATGCGCATGTGTGCATGCTGGAAACTGGAAGATCAGCTCCTGACACATGCAAGTGCACTGGCCATCTGGTCTTTCAGCTTCTAACATGCATGCATGCGTGAAGACTAGCTGGCAGCACACACATGCATGTTAGAAACTGGCCGGCCAGCTGGTCTTCGCACGTGCATGTGTATTAGAAGCCGGAAAACCAGGTGGCTGATGCACATGCACGCATTGGGAGCTGCTCTTCTGGTTTCTGGTGCTCTTGTGTGCAAGGAGCAGCTGGCTGGCATGCAACAGAACCCAGAAGAGCAATGGGTGACAGCTGGCATGCATGGAGAGCTGGCTCTGCATGCCACTTCTGGCACACACGCCATAGGTTCACCATCACGGCCCTATACTATTTGGAGACAAATGGGTGTCCAGTCTCCTCTTAAAAACTTCTGGTGTTGGAGCGCCAACAACCTCTGGAAGAAAGTTGTTCCTCTGATTTAATTGTTCTCACTCTTGGGAAATTTCTCCTTAGTTCTAGGTTGCTTTTTTCCTTGATTAGTTTCCATTTATTGCTTCTTGTTCTGCCTTCAGGAGCTTTGGAGAATAGCTTGACGCGTCCTTCTCAGTGAAAGCATAGAATACTGCTATCGTAGATTAGGAGCGGGGAGACTCAAATTCAAGTCTTTCTCCACCCCAGAAATGACTTGGAATTAGGCCTGCTCTCTCATTCCAACTTTTCTCTCAGGACTGTTCTGTTGTCATGGGAAAAAAATAGGAGAACAAATAGGAAAGGCAGCATAGATATCCAATCAAGCGTTAAATACAGGAAGCCCTTGCCTGGACCCCCATTCATTCACATATGCTTGCCTTCATCTATATCTCATTTTCAAAAGGGAGTTTGGTACCCTTGAAAATGTCTTCCTTGGAGCCATAAGGCTTTAGCACATGAAGTTTTAATGTGTCCCTGGGCATATGTGTCTTTGTGTTTTCCAAATAAGGCAGCAATCTCAGAGAGGAAATTTCTCTCCTCTTTGCCCATTAATGGTCTCCATTCGAAAGCCTCCTCCACAGAACAATGAAGCTTTAAAATAGCCCTTCTAAATGGAGGTTATTTTAAAAGTACACCCCAGTGAGGGAGCAAGAAATTGTTTATATTAAAACCAAGTATGGTACAGTAACTCCTCTCTTTGCTATGAGAAGCATACTGGAAGTTCCTGATAACCTTTTTTAAAGTTTGAAGAACGTACTCTAAGCACAATTACTTGCCCTTCTGGGTTGGAACCCTGGTCCAGCTAGTCTAGCAGTCTATTTTCCTAGTGACACACCAGTCATGGCAAGGGGGCTTCTCAGCTCAATAATGCGATAGGCTATACTGGGTAAGGGTCTAGGAAAACTCACCATGGCCAACTTGCCACAGCCAACTCATCACAACCAACTCGTCACAACCAACTCATCAGAACCAACTCGTCACAGCCAACTCATCACAACCAACACATCACAGCCAACTCGCCTGCCATGACCAACTCATTGCAGGACAATTCAACACTGTATTAATCATTTCATTCATACTTTTATTATTGGTGACCCTATCTTCATAGAAATTATTGTAACTCTTGTATTTCATGGAATGACTTTCTTATTTTATTATTATTATTATTGACCATGGATATGTCAAAATTAATTTAACTTTTGTATTTATTGAATTATCTTGTGGCAAGTTGTCCCCTGGCGAGATTGCCATGCCAAGTTGACGCTGGCAAATTGGCCATGGCAAGTTGCTCCATTTCAGCTGTGCAGAGCCACCCAAGATGGGCAGGTTCTAGTGGAGAGCCCTGACAAAATGTGGCCCACTGGAGAAGGAAATGGCAACCCACTTCAGTATCCTTGCCAAGAAAACACTATCGAAAAGCTAAAATATACTATGCTGGAAGATGAGATCTTCAGATCCGAATGTGTCCAGTGAGCTGATTAGATAGTGTCATTGACACAAATGGACATGAATTTGGGCAAACTCTGGGAGACTGTGGAGGACAAGGGAGCCTGGTGTGCTATGTCCATGGACTCATGAAGGGTCAGTCACACCTTTGCTACTGAACAACAAATTACACTGGGAAGTCCTTTCTCTTCCAGTAGGTGACCTTCAAAGGCAATCCCGCCACCATTGAGGCTAAGCACTATTGATCCCCAATATTTCCATGAATATATCCAACCTTTTTTGAAGTCAACCAACTGGTAACCAGCATCACATCTCTTTCTGGTTCTCCTGCAATCTTACCCACAATTTGCATCTAAAATATTAGTTGTACTGCTGATATACAAGCGCTCGGTTGCTTCTTAACTGTAATGGAATAGCCCTTAAAAACATTATGAATCTTCCCATAAGCACTTGAGATAAAATGAGATTGGCAAATGTAGAACATTTTTTTAAAAATCTGCAATCCTGAAAGAAAAAAAGGTTCCATGTCTACAAGGACTACCAAGTAACTTTTCATAATTTGCTATGTTCCCAATCTTTATCAACCACATCTCCAGGCAACTTTTGAGGTTTTAGATCCTTCATCAAAATAGCTCCTGCCTCACAGGATGTCACACAGAAAGCAACATATTTTTATTTATACTCCTTGCCAACATCATGCGCTGGAGGCTGTTTCAGAGGATTAGAGGTCAAACCTGGAGTGTGCATTTTCCATGCAATCTGTTTTTCTTTCACTGTTGAAGTTGCCCTGTTGTTTCTCCAAAATGACCATGGAAAGCACATTATTTTTGAAGCATTTCCATTACTAAAATAGATAAGTGACAATGAGTTTTAGTCTTGGTGCCAGATAAATTGCCAAATTTGAGGCGTACCTCTGCTCCAAATTTGCAATTATTTATTTCATCATGAGTTGGATGCAATTTGGTGTTGTTTTTTTTCTGATTCAGATTATTTATAGACCAAAATCAGAGTATCTGTTAAATCAAACTTTCTGATGACGTCTTCCAAATAACCACAGGTTTTCTGGACAACAGAAACTTCCTTGTCAACCCAGAAGTTACAGGTAATCCTGTAACAATGGTAGTTAAGATCAGAATTTCCAGCACTAATCAACGAGGCCATAAATGGTGACATTATGTAACTGTGTTCTTTAAGGACAGCAGCTCTGTCGGTTTCCAACTACCATAATTAAGCTGGTAATTAATAGCATGGATTAAAACTTAATGGCATTAAGAATCAGAGGAGTTTTTAAGTCATTGCAACTTCCGATTTCCTGTTGGCTTCCCCAGTGACTTCCCCAGGGAAGCTGGAAGAGAATGTTGAAAATCATGGTCACATGTCCATAGGATGCTGCAATTTCATAATCACAAGCATGCCCTGGATTGCGATCATATGATTGTGAGATCTCTGTGATGGCTGGAATTTCATGGATAGTCATAACTACCACTAGTTCAGCACCGTTGCAAGTTTGAATGGTTGCTGAACAAGCGGTTGTTAAACGAGAATTACCTGTATTGACTTTTGGGAGGGAACTTTTTCAGTACCAAAGTCAAAGGCACCTTACAGATCCCATCCAAGAAATAACCAGGCCTGGCCCTGCTTAATTTCCATCCTCCAATAATATCAGTCAATGCTACCACCTGCTGAGAGTTTTATGGATCACTCCCTATATAAATATAAAAAGATAAGGAAGAGATCACAGCTGTATGCTCCTATGGAATGTCCCTCTTCTATGGTTGACTCCTGAGGTGTTGTATAGGCTACTGTGGTCTGCAGAGGCATCCCTAGGTTCTTAATTTGTTATCAGAACAATGAAAATATCACGGAGGCATCACACATGGAGACTCCACTTCTTTGTGAGACAATTTGCATAAAAGGGAGTGGAGCATGCATTGCAACACCAAGACACTTCTTTCCTCAATCAAATCCCTTTTCTCCATCTTACCACCTATCCAGTGGTGGGATTCAAAAAATTTTACGACCAGTTCTATAGGTGTGGCTTGGTGAGCGTGGCATGGCTTGGGGAAGGATACTGCAAAATCCCATTCCCTCCGCACCCCACTAACCTGATTTCCAGCTCTGTTCTCCTGTGCAGGGCAACCAAAGAAGACCCAGCCAATCAGCTGGGACCCGGGAAATAGAGAATAGATGTGGGCAGGGCCAGTCAGAGGTGGTGTTTGCCGCTTCTCCGAACTACTCAAAATTTCTGCTACCGGTTTTCCAGAACTGGTCAGAACCTGCTGAATACCATCTCTGCACCTATCCACAAAGGGCAGGGGTGTCAATCACATAATGTGACATATCAGGACTTTCCCCCCTGCCTTTGCTAAACTGGGTGTGGGTATGGGTGTGGCCAGTGCATGACGCATCTGGCCCGCAGGCTGAATGTTTGACAGCCCTGCCCAAGGGGACTAACACAGGCAGTCTTCTTTGACACCCTGATAACATCTAAAACTTGTATGGAGATAGTTCACTGGTTAAAGCTGAAATTGCCAACAATATGCCTTTTTAAACTAAAAAATAAAGTTCTTGTGTTAATACCAGACAGCCTAGAAAATTTCACGCACCATTGGAGATATGCAGTTAGTAAAGATATTGGAAAATGAGACTGCTAGAGCTGTAATGCCCTCACTGGTTGCAGGCCAAAAGAAAGTGGCAGTATCGGATTGATTCAGAGGCAATTCTAGACTTGCAATTTGCAACCATTCATTTAGTGATTCTTCAGTGTTACAGTGGAGCTTTAAAAAAGCTGATTTACAAGAATTATAGCATCCCTAAAGTCATATGATCAAAGTTTAGGCACCTGGTAACCAGTATCTATTTACGACAGTTGTAGTTACAACACCCCCAGGGTGATCACCAATCCAGTTTCCAAAAGAAAGGGAATGGGAGAAGCTGGATTCACTTAAGGACTGCGTGATTCACTTAAC